GGCAGCGATTCCTTCCTTCCTTCCCACCTCCGGCCTGTTTCTCAGCCTGAAACCTTCACTGTGAATCGAACACAATAAATGAACCTCTGGAAAGCGTCTCTCTCCCTTCCGGGAAGGCAGGAGAGGCCATGAGGCTGCCCAGAGATCCTCCCTCCCTCCCCCTGGCTCCCTTCGGGCCCCCTTCTTCCCCCCCCCCCCACCCCTCACCCCCCCATGGATCTAAAGGGGTCCCTCCAAGGATCCAGGGGGAGGAGAACAGAGGATTTGGGGTGGGCTTGTCGGTCAGGGTCTGCCAAGGCAAGCCTTTTGGGTGGGGGGAGGGGGTGTCTTTAGCCAGCCAGTTCCCCCTCCTCTTCCAGAGCTTCTGTGCCACAGAGGTCTTGGCCTGGGGGAAAGGAAATAACAGAAGGACAAGGTTGGAAGGGGTCTTGGAGGTCATCTAGTCCAGCCTTCTGCTCAAGCCAATCTCTTCTTAAACACCTCCAGTGATGGAGCAACCACCACTCTTTGTGGCAAGCCGTTCCACTGATTAATTGTCCTCCCTGTCAGGAAATCCCTCCTTATTTCCAGGTTGAATCTCTCCCTGATCAGTTTCCATCCATTATTATTCCTTGTCTGGCCTTCGGGGGCTTTGGAAAATAGCTTGTCCCACCTCCACACTCTCCATGGCCCCAACATGTTCACAAAAGTCACTCAGTGACCACAACAGACAGAATGAACAGAATATTAATAGATGAACAGAGTTGGAAGGGACCTTGTAGGTCATCTAATCCAGCCCCCTGCCCAAGCACAAGACCTGACACCATTTCTGACAGAGGCCAGTCCAGTCCTGCGTTCTCCGGTTGTCCTGGTTGTCCCAAAGGTGCTTTTTTTTAAAAAAGAGGCAAGTGCTTGTTTTTTTCTTTTGAAGACATTTCACTCCTCCTCCAAGAAGCTTCTTGAGCTCTGACTGGATGGTGACAAATGGAAGGATTTATAGTCCTTGCAGACCGTTGCAGATCAACCCTTCCCTTCCCCCCTCATCCAGTCAGAGCTGAAGAAGCTTCTTGGATGAGAAGGGAAACGCCTTCCAAGAAAAAAAAAAAAAAAAAAAAAACAGAAAGTCCAGTTGCCTCTTGGGAAAAAACAGCATCTTTGGGACAACTTTGACCTGGAAGACAGAGAATCTCTACAGGCTTTTATCTGGATGTTATTTTATCTTCTCTATGAGAAAAAGGCGGTTTTTAAATTGGATATGTACATACTGTATATATGGAGAGTAAATGTGATAATAATCACAAAAACAACTGGAGACGGTGAACAATATGGAAGAGCTGCATT